AGTTGTGGGAAAGAATGGGAAACGTCGGCTAAGAGGAAACACTCGTAGATCGAGATGGATCGCGCGGCGGAGGGTGATGGAAAGTAACGACGGGGGGGTTACACGGAATAATTGAGCGGCGTGGTGTGGCGGGTTTCGCGAAAGACAAGAGGCGCGCACGACGGTCTTCCCTAGACGCCGTGCTTCTCTCACGGCACTCGAGGCCCGCGCGCCTCCTCGATACCGTGGCGGTATCGGTTGCCGGTGAGTCCGTGCGGGGAAAAAGGAGCAGAACCAGCACTCTGGGCCCCCAACAGCGCGATCGAATAAAAATGTGCGCCGAGAACGTCTACGTTAGACGACGCGGTACCGCGAGCGAACCACGGGAATTTCAACCCCCGCTGCGCCACCGACTGCGAGCCTCTTCTACCGTCCTCGCGAGCCCCGATACCCTGCACCCTCTCTGTTCACAGGGTATTTCTGTAGTGGCAGCCACACGCAAAGTGCCACGCGTTCTATATATGCGTTTCTTTGCTCCGGTGCAAGTTAAAACGCCGCAAACACACGGGTGCCGTGTAAATTCTTGCTTGGAGGTCCGTGAACCGGCCGCGTTTCCCTCCGCTTTGTCGCCTTCCACTCCTTTCCGCTCCCCTACCCTCCCCTACCCTCCCTTCCACATGGCCGTCCCATGCGACGACGTTGTCCACGACGACGTTTCCTCGTAATACCATAATTCGCCAATCCTCGGATACCGCCCTCTAGCGTCCATTAGCAAATGAAAGACACGGGAGACCGCGGCGGAACTACCGAAAACGACGGGTGCCGTTGGTGGCGGATGGGATGTTGGAAATTCTCCGCGGGCCCGAAGATGGGCCTCTCGGCTCGGGGAATACCGAAATCAAATCTAAATGAAAGATCGGAGATCCACGCTGGTGGGGGCAAAGGGTGGAGAGAAGCCTCTTTCGGCGTTCCACGGACGCGTAAGGCCCCGCGCAACGGCAAGAAGGTGAGCGGAAGACCGTGAACGAGCGAGAGGAGGCGCGGAGGGGGAGAGAGAGAGAGAGACGGGGAGGTGGAAGGATCAAGGGAAAGGGCTATCTCCGGCGGATCTCAATCTAAAAACTCCGAACATATTTTCTCGAGTTTAGAGCCGGGTCCGGATCTCATTGGTCCCCGTGGAATCTCCGTCTTTGGCTGTCCGTCTTTCTCCTTCAACCTTTTCATCCTTATCCCCTCCTTTTCTCCGTCTCTTCTACCTGTTCGCCGCGTTCCTCGAGATCAAAGCGCGCCGACGCCGGCAGTTCGGTCCGTGGGGTGTCATGCGAGACGGGGGATGGGAATCCATCCGGCGGGAGGGGGGAGAGAAAGCTGTTGGTACCATATTCGTTAATATCCTCGTGCAGGGCCGCTGGGGGTACTTAAGAACAGGAGCCGGGATCGATTCGATGCCCGAAATCGCTTCTCGTAAATTCTCCCTCTCTTCCATCCTCTTCTTTCGCCTCCACTCCGACGCGAAAGTTGCGCGGACGCCATTGGTAATCGCGCGGGAAAATGAAAAGCGACGAAATTATCGACCGAGTCCACGATGCTTCGATGACCGCAGAGAGATCTCGGCGATACGATCGGTTAGGAGCCCAGGGACGAAGCACCGGACGTTGATCATCTTCCAGTTAAGATCGGGAGACAATGGCGGCCCGTGTTCCTCGGGAAATCCTTAATTTTTTTTTTCTTTTTTTTTTCTTCATCTCTTGACGTCTATCTTCCGTCTGGCATCTGCCGTGACGCCACTAGAATATAGCACGCGCGCCACCTTTCCTTCGACCGCTTATTATGCCAACCCTCTAATGCCTGTTTGATCGTTGCTTAATCTCTGCTCGTGTATCTTCTCCGTCATCCACGTGCTCGGTACGGCTTCTTGCGTAACGACGAAAGTCGGTCGGAAATAATTCACGGAACGGAACGAGCACGTGATGTTCGGTAGAACGTAATTTTCCCGTAACTCACGAGTCGAATACCGGGATTTATCAACGATATCGCGGGTAGATAACGAAGCGAATTAGCGCCCGGTCGGTATATAGCACGCGAGCGCCGCCAAAATTCGTATCTGGTCACGGTCATTACCACCGAGGACCCCCTCGATCTACTTATCGAGCGGTAAAATGTGCCGCTTCTCGCGTACGTGTTTTCTTCCCTCCCGTCCGCGTCGCCTTTGTTCCACGCCGCTTTTTACACGGCAATCTAAGACTCCTGGAATAGTCGCGATTTCCGAATCGAAAAAAATTCCGATACGGACTATTAGGAAAGAGGAAATGACGCGGTGTATTAATGGTATATATCGGTATTTTTTCCCTACGTTTATTACGTTTATTACGTTTATTATCTGGATTATGAAGTATCTTGCACGAGCACGCAAACGATTATCGTCTATTTTTTCTAGATATTTATACTGCGCAGGTATTTATATACGCGTCTTTTACGCGTAGATATTTTAACGGAGTTAATGGAAAAGAGAATAGAAACGGAAGGAACAAGGAGAGTATTTTTGTAAACGTACGTTTGAGAGTCACTGGCGCTGATAGTAACAGGTGGATCTTGATCTCGGTCGGAGCTTGTTTACCGACACCCACGAGACGAACGAATTCTGACCCGCGATGCGAGATTAGATTGCCGTTCGATTAGCACTTCGACGAGGAAAAGTCGATCGTCTTGCGACGATAATTATCGTAGAAGGTGTTTCAACACTCGACGTGGAACTACGTAGCACTGCCGCGGGATGAAATCGCGGCTCACGAAAGAAACGCGGCCTGCGTATCTTAAGGACTCACCGCATCCGTCTCCAGAGGTCACCACGGGTCGTGTCGAAAATTTTCTCATGGCGTATACGTGCCTCGAAGAGGGTCACGTGTCTCGACGACTTTCCCGCGTTTTGTTCGCGAAAGGTCGAGCCGTGGGGAATAAGCGCCGAGTCCCGTTCGATTTTTCATTTCGCAGAGAATGGCCCATTTATCGTGACGTTCACGGTCGGCTGGCGTGCATCTGCCACGTCCGGTAGAAACGCCGCCTTCGTCCCGAGCAGCGACAGTTTCTCGAGCAGCCTCTTGTTTACTCGCACGAAAGCAAAAGCAGAGCGGCAGCTCGATCCCCGTAATCGTAACCTTGACATACTATCGTCGATCGTTATTCCCATTGAAACCTCCGCGGAAGCGTGTATCCTCGACAGAGACGAGTACGTCGCAGTTATTGGCAAGTACGACTCGAACTCACGGATATACTGCGTCCATTGGCGAAACGCGACGATCCGCCTGGCAGATCGAACGCGCGATGATTATTGACGGCTCGTTGATCTTTTCAGCCGCACGCAAGGTTGTTTGCGTACGACGTGTGCACGCCAGAGGGTCGAAATAAATCGAAGGTCGAATCGAGCTCGATCAGTCGTCGTATCAGTTCGCATGCACTCGACAGACTCCATTTTCGAACAGCTGTTCTCGTTGTTGCATTCGACGGATTAGCCTCTTCTCGTATCTACTTGATACACGCGAATCCGGTAACTCTTACGTGACCAACCGTCCACGATTGGTGGTCTGTGACAAACCACTTGCGTAACTCGAAATTTTTCCTTCATTAAGATAGCCCGAGTCTCGAGACACGACGTCAGACGTTTGCAACGGCGCACCTCACTGCTGCCACCGAAAATTCGTGGTGGGGGATCCGATTATTTGCTCGTCCGCATCACTCGGAGCTTCGCTACCGTCGAATTCCTCCCTCCTCGATACCGTCCCGCGTTTCGCCTCGCACGTTACCGATTGGACCAAGCGGCACGTGGTCCACGGGTCTCTCTGTCGTACGTTATCGATATAATTCACGAGAAAATTAGCGGGAATATTATCGTCGATCGAATCGCGATCTTGGCTAATTTATCGACCAAGATCGTATTACGATTCGAGGACGCACGGGTTCGGGTAGGATCGCGGAGACCTTGATCCAGCGACATTTACAAACACGAGCGCCAGAGGTCCCACCCACGGAGCAACCGCGTGCTCTTCGCGCCGCTGAAATTTCGCCTTCTGGAAGGAAATTAGTCGAGCCACCGACGTTTGTTGACTCAGCTTGCGAGCGTCCATTCGCGCCAACGCGTTAATGCGAGTAGCGATAACGTGCGCCGTCTTCTCGAAGATACGTGGGACTTTGTTCTTGTCCGTTCAGTGGGCATATCCACCGCGAGGGAGGGGGAGTTCGGGAATGAATCGGTAGAGATGCACCCTGCGCACCCAGAATTTGTCACGTCACGGCGCTCGTACCTTCAGTGGTACCTGTCGAGATCGTGACCTTTTGCTCGTTTTCTTCGACCAAAGCACCGACCATAGGGCCGGCCGTCGATCTTCGTTTCGATGATTGGCTACAGGTCGATTCAGAAGCCGCTACTGGCGATCGCGGACGTGGCGCCTAGCGCCACTTAAATAATCGAGCAACCGTTCTACGCGGACGCGAAGATCGCACGGTCGGTAACCAAGGAATATACACGTCTTTTACGTTACTTTCAAGTTGTAAATCTACGACGATGATTAAGTAAAGAGAATAGATTCGACTAAAAGTTTACGTAGCCTGGTGTTTGTTCCAAGTTATTGTCGTTCGTGGTAAGCTATTGACAAGCGATCATCGATCATCGTAATATTCGAATACGTCGACGAAACTGACGCCATATTGCGGGAGGCATAACGACGGGTCTTTGGTAGAATCAATGGCCGTGTTTCGGCGTTCGTCGTGGATCGTTTCCACGCGAGATCGGAAAGACCACGACTTTTGAACGGATCGGTAAAGTCTCTACGAGCTCGGTCGCATCGTCCGTCCACTGACGCATCTGCAGGCAGAGACGTCGACGAGAAGCAAAGCGATTACAGTCGGTCGTTATCAACGTTGGTGTATTACTGCGGTCGGTAGAGGGGCGAGGGGTGTTATCGGCGACGATAGCGCGGCTATATATAAGGCCGCCGGTTCGTCGTTGACATTAGTTGGATGTTCGTAGCGGTGTTTTCGCGACAAACGGACTGCTCTTGCCGTTCTTCGATTGCCTTTCTCCTCCTTTCTCTTTCTATCTATCTATCTCTCTCTCTTTCTCTCTCCCTCTCTCTCTGACCACCGAGTTCTTCGTCGGGGATCATCGATACTCGTCTGAGCGATAGTCGACCACCGTGGTACGCGATTCATCGACGTCCCAGGGGAGACGGGTCCGATCATCATCGACGCGTCACACTCCGGCCGAGATCTTGGTTGACAGATAAGGAAAAAGGAATATTCGAGCTCGGGCGGAGATCAAGGGACGAGATACGAGGAAAGAAGCGAAAAGATGGAGGCGACGTTGTTCTAGCGTCGACGGGAAGCCATCACAGGAGTAACGTTTGACAGTGGTGTAGCGATAGAGAGAGAGAGAGCGAGCGAGAAAGAGCGAGAGCAGGGTTGTGAGCCACGGAAGCTCGACGTCGATTCGATCAGGGCTGCGGATCGAATCGGGGGTATCGCTCGGCGAAAGCAACGGCCTCCACGAGGAAGAAACCGTGTTCGCGTTTGATGAATCTGTCGCGGGCCAGCCTAGTTATGTTCTCGATCGAGTACAGCAAGCAATTCCTGAGCTACCGTATACTCAAGTCGAACCGGTTCAAGTACATCTGACGATACGGACTCGGACTAAGTGTGATAAAAGGGTGCGCGTTACGGCGAGAGTGTGTATGTGAGTGTATTGCCGTGTGTTCGACTTGTCGTTGGCAACGGTGCTCAGGGAAAGGAATCGAACACGAGGAAGATCCGGAGAGAGACGATCCGAGCACTTTGGCAAGACCTGGAAAGTCTTGTTGGCCGATTCTCACCGATGCGCCTGTCGTTTCCGTCGCTCTTTACATTCCGAGGAAACAGAGAGGCATCATCGAGAGCCTCGAGACTCGTTGGCGAGACGATACTTCCGAAGACCAGAATCCATCGCGAGCGGAGACACAGCGATTCCGATCGAGGGGTACAAGTCGATCACGGCCGGATAAAGGCACCACGGTCGATAAGAGCGAATTCTACTTGTTGGAAATAGAGAAAACGTTCCGTATCGACAGAAATTTCCTCACAAAGAACACGCGTGTTCTAGCGCATGCTTTTCATCCTTTCGAATCCGCTCGTAAATCCTTGTTTTATCGAAGCAAAGGCGCATACACACACACACACACGATCGCTAGCGAATTTTCACCATTCCTTTTCACCGGGGTACATAAACGACGATAACCGTGGGCAGGGGAATTTGCACGTTTTCTTTGGTCGAATTGGCGAGTTGATCGACTAGGAAAGAGAATAAAAATGATCGTTTACGTTCCGGGTAGAATGCCAAGCCACGTTGGTCCGTACGGCTCCGTTCGTTACCCGGGCACGCTGTTAGGAGCGGTACCGGGTTTTTACAGCCCGATTTCCGGTTACTCCACCCGCCCGAACTCCAGCTACTACGGGAGCCTCAGCCTGCATCAGCAAGCACCGCTGGACCTTCCGGTTTGGCCGCGAAGCATGCCGGTCGAGGAGGAACTCGGAACTTCCCCATCGACCGCGTTGCCGGGTTTGGGTGTTTCGCCGGATGCATTGGCGAACGGTGGCCCACCGAGCCCGACGCACAGCGACTCGGACGCCTCTAGCTCCAGCTTGGAACTCGGCTCTGTCCGCCGTGGCGAAAACGCCCAACTCAAGTGCAGGTAAACCAATATTACCATTTATTTCTCTTTCTCTCTGCCCTTTTCTATTTTTCTTTCTACTTTTCCCACGAAAATAGCCACGAACGAAGTTGCACTGAAAATTATTCAAATATCTCAACGAAGACTCTAACTTGCCGAGACGCTGTTCCGAGCAATCGCGAAGATATTTTGCTAATACCTTTGGTCGCGTGTTTATCCTCGACGCGGAACAGAGTCTGCAGATACGCGGTGTCGAGGCGTTATCTAAATTGAGCGCGGATTTGTTCCCCCCGTCGAGCCTGAAGCGAGTGTTTATCTTGGGTTCTGCATCTCGTTATCAGAAAACGAATGGCTTAACGTCGAGTCTCGGTCCTCTCTGTCTCTGTTTCTCTCTATCTCGTCCTCGCGACTCGTCCTGCAGCTCTTCGTTTCCGTCCCGCCGTTTTTCATCCGTGTTTTTCGCGCGCGGATCATTCGACCAGCGATGGCCAGTGAAGACGCGTTTCCACGCGAATCGCGCGCAGTTCACGCGCGCCACTCTTAAGTGACGCTAATTTATCTGTGGCGCGCGCGCGACTACGTTTACAGCACGCGTCCCATTCCGGTTCTAACCAGTTTTCCGTATCCGTCCAGATATCAAACGGGGTGTACCCTGCTCTCCCCACCCCCTCCACCCACCCCCCACTCACCATGTCGCTCTAGCGTCGACCAAGATTCCGTAGTTCTCGATAACGATTCGCCCGTTTGTCGCTCGAGATTCACGCAATTGGCGGGGATCGATGTTGGGAATCGAGACACACGGATATGCAACGCTCTCCGTGTCCAGCTTTCTCGTATTATTCTCTCTCTCTCTCTCTCTCTCTCCCCTCCCCCTCTTTCTCTCTTTCTTTCTCTAGAGCTCGGCGAACAAGAATCACGTGGGGTTGGGGCGGTAAGGGGAGACACGGGGCGACAAAGGATCGGCCGAGACTCTTTGGCGGTTCCAAGTGTTTACCGTTCCGGAACAAAATGTCAGATTTCGATAACCTCGTAGTAGCGGTTCGCGTACGCTGTTTCGCCACGGAGATTTCGGCCGGAGAAGTGATGCGATCGTTTATCGCGCTTTGCATGTGGTAGCCTCGTGCACTGCGAGAATGCCTGCTTTGTTATCGGCATCGCAATCATGGATGGTTGCCGTCGTCGCCGCTTTAATCGCGATGTTCGCGCGCGTCACGCGCCGAATCCTTGGTTTTCCACGAAATTCGATAAGCGCATGATCCCCGTACAGAGCCAAGATCACGAACGCGAGTGTGATGAAACGAGGAAACGATTCTAACTGTTGCGCGAGTAGAACGTTGGACGATTCCGAGGGATTAGCCGGCAAGCGAGAAGGTCCTTGATCCGCAACCTTTGGCGCGTGCATGGCTGTTCATGGACTACGATGTCTTTCACTGTGATAGTATCGAAGCCATGCGTCTAGATAAACTGGTATCAAGCGACGCCAATTGCACAACGGACGGAATTGGTATCAATTGGCCGGTTGAACGGACGTTCTTGACGTAAATCGTGCGTCGATATTTCAACCGAAAGCCTTTCCAACCGATGTGCTCGATACGTTTCCATACGTCGATTCTGGATCACGTGATTGCACGATGTTCGTTTCATTTTTCGTTACCTTGAAAAGTGGTTAGGAACGATAAAAGAGATCGCGGAACACGCGAGAAAATTTTTAAAGGTTTTGCGAACGTTTCTCCGTAGTTGGAAATGTAGAGACTTTGACACGCGGTGAATCGATCGAATAATCAAAATGCAGGGAACGCCCCCTGCTCGCGCGTGTTGGTTATATTTAGAATTTCTCGGTATACGTGTAATAGAGAAGGAAAATAAGTAATATAAATAGATCGATTGACGGGAAGAACGCAAGATTCGAAATATTGGCCTTAAACGATGATCATCTTATGAACGATTCGATTGATGAGAACTATCGAGCGATCAAAGATCAATACCCTTAAACGTTTTGCTACTATTCTCGTGCGATTGTCGAGCGTGCACGTTCCCGATATTTAAATGCGTCTAACCAAGCCGAATTAAAATGTCGTCAGCGAGACCAAAGACTAACGCGAACCTGTTCCGATTTACAGATGGCAGAATTGTGGCCGTTGGTTTACGTCTTTGGAACAATTGGCAGGACATGTCGCGCGACTCCATGCTGCACCAGGACCACGTGGGCTCTTCTACTGTGGTTGGGAAGGTTGTGCACGGGGTGAACGTGGATTTAACGCCAGGTAAAAGAAAACCTAACCTCTCTTTTCTGCTTAATGTCATATCGACCGACATTCGAATCTTACCTCGTCCTTTTTCTTATTCTTCAGGTATAAGATGTTAGTCCACGTTCGAACGCACACGAACGAGAAACCGCATCATTGTTTCCAATGTGACAAAAGTTTCAGCAGAGCGGAGAATCTAAAGATTCACGCGCGTTCGCATACCGGTGAACGTCCTTACGTCTGTCCCGTTGAAGGCTGCAATAAAGCTTACTCGAACTCCTCGGACAGGTTCAAGCACACTAGAACTCATGCCGTGGACAAGCCTTACTGCTGCAAGGTACCAGGCTGTCCTAAGAGGTACACCGATCCATCGTCCCTGCGTAAACATGTAAAAACCTACAGACACTACGTGAACAATAACGATAAGACACAGGAGAAGAGCTTCGAGGAGAACAACTCTCAGGAGAAGGCAAGGTTCGACACGGTCTCACCGGAAAAGCAAAGTAGTAGCACTCACTCTGAATTGTCCGACAAAAAGGATAGCAGTATCGAAAGCAGCATGTCAGGGTCGAGTCCGAAAGCCAGCAATAGCTTCGAGGAACAGAGGAACTTCGTCGAATGGAACAACATGTACAATTTGCAGGATCAGCGTAAAGAACCGGAACAGATGACGCCGAGGAAAACGTATGAGCAGGAAGTGAAAATTTATCCGAGGATTTATGACGATAGTTATATAATACCAGAAAGAATACAAGTGAATCCCATGTACGTTACCAGCAATCCGATTATCAAGGAGAGTCCGCCTCAGTCGGTACAATCGCCTCAGACCAGTCCGCATCACGTCCCTGACACGTTGCCTCACATCGGGATGCAGTCGACGCCCATTAAGATCGAGGAACCCATTGAATGTCCCAAGGTCAGCACGGTGGATTACAGAAACATCGAGTCGATCATTAACAGCACACCCTGTAAGAAGGAGAACACCGTGGTTTGCGACCCCGTTAGACACTCTGTAATAAAACGGGCGGAAGATTTGAAGATGGAGGTCGAGCAAATACCGACCAAAGAGGACATATGCAAAGATACCACCGATTGTTGTTGCCGTCACAAATGTTGCGTGCATAATAATGACAATATATTAGAGAAGACGAAGATTCTTTCGGATTTGATTCTCAAAACGCAGAATCCTCTGTTCAGACATCTATTGGGCACGGTGGATCTACAATATGGATTGCAGAACATGTGGGGCAACATCGTGGACACGAACAACACCTGTGGTCAAGACCTTCGAGTTAAGAATGAGAATGTCGCCGAGATGGAGCAGGATCTTCCATTGGATTTAACGGTTAATAAGTAAAGAGAATTTTAGAGGTCGTGTGGAAATTAACTTTGCTGCACGTAAAGCATGAACGCTCAGGATTTTGCAGGCGCCTACGTTTTCTTTTCAAATCGATCTATCTAGGTGTTTGAAAAAGAGATCACCTTGAATTATTACCGACCGTAGCCAGTATGAAACGTTTGAAGTCGTTCTGCGATTGAGTGCCTTGACTCTTGGTGCTTTCTGACGATTCTATTTTTATAATCACGAAATATTCAGATGCGAAAATGTTTTACTTAATGTTTTCATAGGTGCAGGACGACTTTAAATGTTAATAAATCTAAATTGTTCGGGCTATGGCCGGTTTTTGCGTTTGTAATTTTATATCAAATTGACTTCTCAAAATTAGCTACGATGTATGAAATGTTTGAGGATCGATATTATTTTCTATACAGATTATTCGATTTGCTGGTCACAAAAAGGTTCACTGACAAGAAATGAGGTAGATATGAAGATTGACGAGAAGGTGAAAAGGAGGATTGTATTAGCGAAAAGAAAGTTGTCCGTTTTCGTTAGACTGTGAAGCCAAATATATTGTAATACGTTAATGTTTGTCGTATGTTGAAGTTAGTCGAAGCAGAAACAGTTTGATATCGAATGAGATTTGCTCAATCTTAATTCGTTCATAATTCCCTTAGCGATGTAATTAGAAACTCTCAGATTTAGATTTACGGGTAATTCGATCAATCGGCTGGAACGGAACGATTGAAACGATACCTGTATATACACGCGTTAAACCAAAACCTCACAAGCAGATAAGAATGAAGAAAAAGCATGTAAGGTTGTGTACATGTTTTACGAAAATCCCAAGTAATATTACGGTCGAAGAGCCGCTGTATCATAATATGTTTGAAAGAAATGACCCGGTACGTTATGTTCAACATCTATGTATAATATGTATATAAACCTGTATTATGTATAAGGTATCCAAAATGTTAGATGTATGAAGAAAAGTACTTGCATCTCTGCAATGAGAAGAGCGTGTTTAACGACATTAAACTATTCAATAAAAACATTATTTATGTAAAAAAATGTTTATTTTCCTTTCAGCATGTAACAAGTTTCACTTTTCCGTTGATATTGGATATATTATAATCGTATCTTGATAACATTGGTAAAAGAATATAATCGTCACGTCCACGCCCTATAGAAGCTTTTATCTCAAATATCGCAAATATAGGTTGGTTCATTATTAACGCTAGTTATTTCGTACGTGAAAAATTATCATGATTGGAAATATTACTCTTGGACAAAATAAATTTTTTTATGTAGATATATGTATAAGTTTATAATAGAAACAATCAACAGGTGCAAATAGGAAGTAGATTCAAAATAAATATGGCACCGATTTACGGAGGTGCAAAATCTCTGTTTTTAGTTGCATGTTCCGTTTAAGTCCTTGCAACCTTATTATCGGCGATAATGACAATCATATCACCTGAATTATTTTGACAAAAAAATACGCGATCTGCGTTATTAAATATAATTCTCACGATATATTATGACTCAATAGAAGTTCAGCCATGCCATTTTTAATAATTTTTAAACTTTCTAGATCGGAGTTTATTGTTGCTATGAGTTGTGCCATGCCTTGTTGTTCCATTGTTAAGTACTAGTGAAAAGAAAAAAAAAAAAGAAAAGATAGGTTACGCGCGTGTATGCTTTTTTTTTTATATCTAACATTTTTGTCAACGTTGAGTTTACATACCGCTTTTATGTCATCCTGTGCTATAGGATCCATTGCATACCTTTCCTGATTTTGAGTGTCTATGTGATTTCTCATTCTTAACTGAGAAAGCATTTCACTAATTCTACCTTTGAATTGAGTTGGAGCGCTAACTTGAGAATGCATAGCTTCGAACCTGCGCGTTAAAACTTCTTCTTCTGGTTGTAAAGATAATCCAACTTTACGTGTAATTTCTTGATGTACCAGCACCTTAAGAAATATTCATGCGTATAATAAGGCACGCATCGGCTTGAGAATAGTATACGTAAAAATGTTTACGTACCTGTAACACTCTATGTTGGAGTTCCAATAAAGTTCGCCGATGTTCTTTTAATCTGGCTTGTATCGCTGTATGTTGTCTTTGTAATCTTTGTATTTCTTCTGCTGTCATGTCTAAAAAATTTCTATGTCTTGCAGTTTCCTCCTCTTGACACTTCAATCTATGTTTGACTTGTTGAAAACCAATCATTGGTACAGGTATATAAAGTTCTGGATTAGGATTATCCAGTTGTGCTTGTTTCCATAACCGTGGATCGATCGAACAAGGAGGATTATCTAAATATTCTTTAAGCTGTGCAGGATCTAATTTAACTAAAGGTAACATATCCTCTACACCATTTTGCACTAACTGTTGCTTTTGCATTGGTTGTGATAAATATGCAACTAATTCGCTGGCAGGAATTTTTCTTGGAGCTCCAGTAATTCCTTTCTCAGTGACAAAAATGGTCACTTGACTTTTATCTTCTCCCGTTGCTTTGACATTGTCTATCGTAAGCGATAAATTGGGTTTATTGCCCAAGATATTATTTATAAAACTCATCAATTGTAATTTGCCTTCTTTAATATCCTTTTTCTTTTTATTGAAACAAAGTACGACCAGACCGTCGTTATTATCAGCTTCGGGCATTCGACTGTAGCCGATAGCTTTGAATCTGCACAGTGGATTTTCTTGTGTAAGATCAATAGGTTGTGCATTCATGTAAAAGTAGGCTTTTCCTGTGCCCCATAAGGCTTGTATAAGGTTCCATCTAGCGATAATATTGTCACGTTCATCGTTATACAACTGACAATTAAATATAGCATTATATAATGCTTCGGATAATGTATTAGTAGGTTGTTGTTGTTGTTGCTGTTGAAACTGTTGATGTGATTGAACTAATCCAGACCCAAAACCTGCAAATCCTGTGCCTGTACAAATAATTTATAAATATGAATAAAATATGAATAAAAACATATATTTGTAAATAAAAATGTAATGTAGTTGTTACTAACCGGTACCAAATCCACCAAAACCGGTGGTTGTAGTAGTGGCTGTTGGTTTTGTGCCAAAAGCATTGAAACCTCCAGATGCACCAAAACCAGTTGATGTACCAAAAGTGGGAGCTGAGCTTGTGGCACCAAATCCTCCAAGAAAGGAAGGTGTCGATGTAGTTGTATTTCCAAATCCAGTAAAACTTCCAAAGCTTAAGGAGGGTGTTGTAGTGGTTCCAAACGTACCAAAGACAGTGGTAGTAACTGGCGGGTTACTAAAGGAAGGTGCAACTCCAAATGCACTGCCTGACGCAGTACCACTGCCAAACCCTGGAGTAGTTCCAAAACCAGGGGTAGTAGTGGTACCAAACGTAGGTGCAGGACCAAAACCACTTGTTGGTGTACTACCAAAAGCAGTGGCAGCTGGTGTTCCAAAACTAGTACCAGTACCAAATCCTCCTGTTGCTGGAGTCGATGAGGTACCAAAGAGACTGGGTGCAGAGGTAGATGGTGTGCTAAATCCAAAAGATGGTGTCCCAAATGCTGTTAAGATATTTGGTTTCAGTCATGGAATATTTAACAATAAAATATGGCAAAATTTTATTTCATATGATATACAAATGAACACCTTATATACATATATACTTAAACGATACACTTGCGATAAATACGCGCTTTACGAAATGATAAACGTATAGCGTGAAATTTCGTCATTTTCACATTGAAAAATTGGTTTTTGTTTCTACTGATTTCAAACTGCTTCAAGCAGGAAATCCGATACATGACAGAAATGCCTTGCATATGATCGCAATAATACGTTGCGTTTTATTCGTTCGTAGAATTTAATTACGCGTGTTACGAATAGTTCAAATACATTTAAACTATCTCATAACTTGTTCCTCTATGATAAAAATTTCCTAAAGAAATTCTGTATTATATAGCAAAAGCAAGATCTTAAATTATGGCATATATAAATGAACAAAATCAGGTAATGCTATTAACATTATATAAGTATTAAGAAGTTTGATGTGTTTAATGAACATAAACAGGAAGGAAATTACGGACAACTGGCACATAAATTAATAAAGATAGCTTCAGTATCTGGTAGGAAAGTTGCACTTCGACGTGTTGATACTGCCCCTGATACTGCAACTGAATTCTTACACGAATATGGTACTACAGATATGGCAATTGGGGTATATTTCATTATTTATATGCATTAATATATTACATATTTTATTACATTATATATTTTGTTACAAACTATAACATATTTTACTACTGTTCACAAAGGACGTTACGGCAGAAGTTATGTTAACAACAATGGGCAAAATACCAAATGAAATGTATTATTTAGAAGATACTCCATTTAATGTTGATTCAGCTACGCAAAGATTGGGTTTGGAAAAGACATATACATTTGCACATGCTGTTACAGCAAAAGCAGAATTATACGAAGCTAATAAGGAATCATCGGGTCATTCGTCAGTCTTAATTGCTCTGTTAACTGCACTTTTAATAATATTGTTACTATGCTGTATCACAGCCTGTATTGTAACTAAATCAAGAAAAAAACTTAATTTCTTTGGGAAAACAGACATGGAATGCGAACCAGGATGTACTGGCATCAATCAGCCTTTGCTAGACAAAATTTCTAGTACTACAGATAAAACAAGCATTAGTTCTTTGAGGAATTAAGAGTGATTTTGGTATTAATATATACAGAGACTGTAATAATTTTTTATCGAATAATATACAGCCTTAAGGAATTACAACACGTAACGTAATACAAGCTGATTATATTACGAGTAGGCATTGTGACGAAATGCGCATTAAAACGTGGAGTATTCTTCAAAATGATATTTTAAGAATATCTAGAAAGATAAGTTTCACAAAAAATAAAAAAGACATATAATAGATATTGAACCAATAGGAAACACAGAATGGCCACTTTGCTGGAAATACGTCCGAAAAAGTCACATGTAACTAGAGGAAGAACGAAATGTGACTTAACCTAAAATCAGACAACATACCTGGTTTCACCAGTATCGCCGTAGTGGGAGCTGTACCAGCAAAGCTAAACGCAGGAGCTGGTGTCGAAGTTGTTCCGAATCCCGTAGTCAATGACATTTCCCAAATTAAATTAAAATTGACGTATCACAAAAACACGATTTACCGCGCGCGCCTTATAATTTCATATAAACGACAGTGTAACGAATATGGCGGCCGATATGCGCCGCAAATGCAAATTTCCGTTTTTGCGCAGACCACTTGTCACGTGACGTACGCGTCTTTACAAATCACAATACACGGCATAATTTTGCTCTTAAATTGTAACTAAGTTTATTTGATTTTTTTAATACAATTGTATTTCATTTGTACTACATATTTTTCATAATCGCCATATGGATCTATGATGTATTAAATATACGTATTTCTTTAAAGAATTACACGTGTCGTTAATTAATATTTTAAACGAAAGTGTTCATTTGATTTCATGTAAACCTGTTTCAAGTCACGGGTATACGTTTCACGATGCGAACCGAATGCTTTCGACCCGAAATTCGAAAGTACAGTATCGCGACTACGAAACTGTAGTACAGCAAAGATCCGTGAACGATTGATCGATTCGAGAGCGAACGCTTTCCCGATAAGCGCAGGGTTATCAATAACAGATACAATATGTGAATTTTTAACGAATTTTATAATTTAAAAACTTAAAAATAAATATATCTCCATATTCTAACGTACATATATATGATACTTTCTTTAACAGTTCGATAAGACTATATATATATATATATATATTTATACACACTGCGTGTTAGCCGAGGGAGCTAACCAAGAATATATCGTATAATAATATTATTAGTCAAGCGCAATTCGCGCGACAGTCGATCGAAGAAGTATAGTAAAAAATACGTGGATGATCGCGACGATGATTAGACTAGAAACGATTGAACAGAAAACGTTCGTAAAATCTCTCTAAACATGTACACGTAGAGTGGCGAAATTGAATTGCACGTACGAAAAAACTTGTGCATCGTGGCTTGTCCAATCTACGTCATACACATAAGTCGTCTCGTGTACCGATAAAATTTTTAATTGCAGTCAAATCGCATTACCATCTCATTAATATAAAACAGTTTCTAAACTCAACGATTCGAAAGTACTTGAACGTTCCGCAATCACCGTATGTAAAGATCGAATTTGGCGTTTAGGAGAATTTCTAAATCTACACTTTTTTTGGTACGATATCGCGAGTTTCGAGTCTTAACGCCAACTGAATCGCGCGGCATTTATGAACGACTTTGTAAACCTCCTTCGAGCAGTCTGTGTACTTGCACGAACGACTTTCGAAAGGGTAGAGAGACACGGGGGTTTGCTCGCGTATCCCTCTCGAGAATCGCTCGATGAAAATAATCTTCTCTATAAACTTACGCTATGCGTGGCAAAGTAACCCATCGGCGATGCAGAATTGAATTTTTCTCGCTATAAACACGATCCTCGGTCTCTTTCCGGTTACAAAACAAGGACATGCGTGAGGAAACACGCACGTGTACATTTAATGCTAGTTTTAGAAGAGAGTGAGAAACAAAGAGCTTTTGCCGCGAGCTTTTAGCTCGTTCGTACGTTCGTATGCTCTCGTATTGCTTTTGTCATCCTAATCGACGGGACTCTTGCGTTCAGCCAACCTGGTCCGTTTCTAAAAAGAAGAATTCAAAAACGATAATCCTTCAGATACCATGCGGGATAAGCGTAGAGATTTAGTATTTTGCCCATTCATAAATAATTGATACGCGAGATGCTCGAGAGTAGACGAGCACTGTTCTCGCGTTCGCGAGCAATCTGAAAGATTAAACGTTGGCTGGCCATGAGAATGCACGTCGAATCCACCTCATCAAGACTCCCAAATTATTTATGAATGGCGCAACATCTGAAGCGTTTAAATCTCGTTAGCACGTTCACTGTTCTTCCGTGTACGTGTATCTGTTTGTTTTGCCCGCGAACACACCGGACACCAATTTCGCGTGCCGTGCAACGTTTCAATTTGGGAGCAGACTTCATGAGGTTCACATCGATTCGCTGCCGTGGAAACGACCAGGTTATTGTCTAACGAGATTTAACTGCAATTGTTGCAAATCATGCGTGAACCATAGAAAAAGATTTAGGCCTGGGGCAAACGAAAATGTTCCTGATGCTTTCCTGCGCTTTGGCCCAACGGATCGCGTGTGTGCGCGGCTAAAATTATACGATATGCAACAGTTAAACGAGTTGAACGTCTTTTTGTACCTCGCGTGGACCGTGTGATTCTTTATTTTTTCTTTTTTTCTTTTTTTCTCTCCTTTTCCATATTTCCTTCGTGTATCTTGGACCCGTGTAAACCGTGCGCGAAGAGATTCGGATCACCGTGCATTGCCACGTGGACGTCTCGCGTCGATTCGTGGAATGCGATTAATTCCACATTTTGCAGAAGGTATTCGTACGTTACCAGGAAATATATTTGACGAGGTGTCCGTGTTTGGTCCGTGTTACGTAATCGATTTGCGCGACGTTCCCGTCGAGCACTGATAAACCGGTATTCGAGGGAACGCGGTGGAAATTTATCTAACCGTGATTCAATAAAGATTTAATCTCGCACGATAAAACTTCTCTGTATAAATATCTGTATAGTAATAAAATCTTAATAGTCGGAAATATCTGCAACTGTGCAATAGACTCTCTCTCTGTCGAGGTAACGAAAAGGTCGTTGTAAACGAGAACGACGCGCGATAGTGGTAGGCCAGCAATTGGTGATTTACGATACCTATCAGTAACCCGCGCGTATGCAGTTGTTTTACATCGAGAACGTTCTACTAATCGCGCTACGCATACGCACACCTATTTACTTTGATTCGGTATATACATACATTCAACATTTATACGTTTAGACACCGAATACATAAACATAGAGCGCGCCGCCTCTGGCGGAGGCGCCGCATCGTACGAACTATGAACTTGGAAACAAAGCTGTCTCGAGTTAACGAGTCGCTTGTTTGCTATTCGGAACTTCGGTGCGTCGTTTCCCTTGCGAGCAGTATCATCGAATCGAGAACTGTGACGAGTGCCGTTCGGTGTGCGATATAAATAGTAGCCTGCGATAGCTTCTAGAAAGGCTTAAAAGTAAACGTTGCCGTAAGAAAGAAACGTTATAGGTACTTTTAATCGTTTAGGTCCCACGTTCTTAAATTCGTTACGATATCCACCTAAAGGGGCAGACGTCAACGCGTGGCGAATCTACAAGTACGATCCTGAAAACTCAAAGTCAGAAGCAGAAGCTCGAGATGATTGTGTATAAACAGAAATACCCCCACCGATTGCGCTATCCGAAGTGCCCTCGCCGGTTACGAAATCGGCGACTATCAGCGAATCCTTCGGAACGTTTCCGCTGCCACCTTTCAACGCGTCCCTCTCGGCCAACATTTGCTTCAGAAGTTTGATCTTTTCTTCTTTCTGAAAAATCACGCCCCGTGATAAGTGCTCGTCGACTAATCGTCACGAGAGAATACGGAAAAGTGTGCTTACAGCGGCAATAAGCTTCTGAAGCTCGTCGTTTTCGCTGAGCAGCTTCTGATACCTTTCCTCGTCTTCCTTCGACATGCCCACGTCTGGATTGTACTTGGATTCAGCCTTGTCTTTCGGGTGTCTGATCACTTCGATCACTTTAGGCACAAAGATCAGAGCCATGCTCAAGAAGCAGCAGAAAATAATGGCGAGTGCAACGAAAGCGAAGCTAGCGTCTTGCTGGCTGGCAATCACCATCGTCACCGGAGCTGTGATCAAACAGAGGACAACCACGTTGTATATCGACATCCCGACGTATCTGGAATCATTGATCTGTTTAACTTTGATGCTCCTCGTCTCGTACGCTAAGAACAGTCCGAACACCAGGATGATTCCTTTGTAGCTGTAAATCAAACCTGAAAGAAGACAAGTTGTCAGTGGACGTTTAAGCGTTTAAAGCGTTCGTTCCTACATCGAGCAACCTACCGAGCCAAATGTTATTGTGTATGCTCTCGCAGTGCTCTAACTCGGGTCTGATCCTCGCGTCGTCGTCGCCAAACGGGGGCGCCTCCAGCGGGAAGGTCTCCATTTTCCTTTGCAAAGGATCGAGTATCTGCCACGAGATTAGCAGTACGATATCCACAGCCAACAGTCCGCTTACCATCGTATACAGCTTCCACGGCTGAATTTTCTTCTGTATGGACGAAACTTTTTGTTTAGCCATGAACAACTAAAAAGAATCGAGAATACGTTAAAGTTGAGGGTCATACGAGCAGGAGCTGCAAACCATGCAGGGACGGGCACACACTGCGTGACAAACTAGAAATATTAATTAAACGGTTAATCGGCTAATCGAACGTGATTACGGTTTTGGGTGAACGTCTAAAACGTTTTTCGAGCGATCGATCGCGTTGCCTCGCCGTTTCCGATACTTACTTTCGCCTGATCGGCTTTCGTCTTTGTGGTAAGCCTGTGGACTCGCCACACTTTGCTAAACATAGCGCCGAACGCTAGAGTGAATCCCGTGGAGAGCATCCAGGCTCTGGCTTGGCAGATGGCTGGATATTCCCATGGCGAGACGAATCTACCGTCGATTCCCAGCAGAAACACCGACACGAAGCACGCTATCACTCCAATCAGCATTATGGTATTGCACACGGGATGTGACGACATTATAACTCTATAAGGGAGAGTGCATCAACGTTTCCGAATATTCGAACAAGACGGAAGCAGATGTGGAATGTGGACGGATGTACCTTCTATGCCTGTTCCATATATTGAAAATGATCAATGCTAGCGCTATTAGGATCCCCACCGAGGATATAGTCCCCATGCAAACGAACAAAGGCAACGAGACTGTCCTCAGAACGGTCCTCACGATGGTCCTGTCCTGCGGCACTTTGCCACCTATCCACCTTTCCATGTTTCTCCAAGTTAGATTGTCACTTTGCGTATCATAGTATCCCAGCTTGACGTACTTCCCATCGATCACCTGCTCGATTTGGGTCAATGCGATTCTGTCACCTTGCGAGCTAAATGCCACGTATCCCTATAGCACGTACGAGATCGATTAAAGATCAGCCACTCGAAATAGAGCCTTCGCGTTATTTCTGTATGTAGCTGAGTCACGTACAGATACTCCGAGAAATTGAGTGGAGTTGATCGCCGAGTAAATTTCATCCGCTATCTCCTTGTCGGTGTAGGTGAAGTTCTTCAGGCTTTTCCCTTGCTTGCTCAGCTTCTCCATTGTTTTGTTGAAAGCTGCGATTGAGAATACGAGCAGAGAGTAATGAAACGAATTCACTCGTGACAATTAGGAGGTTTATTTCGTACCTAACACCACTGACCAAACCGCGTCATAGGCGAGAGGGGCCTCCTGATATCCTTCGGGGTAGCGATTGTTGTCGATGTCGTACCCGTCTTCCTTCAGCATTTTGTTCAATCTCTGCCTGAAATCCTCGGAAGTCATGCCGCTGATTGTCGTGTCGTTATTCTGATTCCACATGAGAGCCTCGGTCGTCAGGTGTCCCTCGGCAGCGAGCCTCATCTGATCTCTCGTGCACGTGATCCCCTCCTTGTCCAGATTCACCTCGAACCAGTTGTCCTCGTACCAGCCGATGAAGAACCAGACGTAGCTTTTGCCGTACAAATTTTGATGATACAGCTCGCAAAGGACCCTACGCGCGGCCACGACGTAAAACAGGCCAACGATGATCCTGGCATCCTGGCGACGCAGATTTCTCACCGCGTCCGATGGGTCGGATAGAAAGCTCTGACGCGTGACGATTTCTATTCCTGCCTCCTTGCAACGCGCTTCTAAATCCTCTACGGTCTGTCAAACAGAAAAGGAAAAAGCAGAGTGGGAAATTATCTTTCCGGTGTTGGAAAATTACGAACGCGCAGATTGGTACGAGAGTGATCTTACAGATATGAATACTTCTTCGGCTTGCTGCAAGATTGCCACGCGGGACCAGCCGAATTTTTGCAACAATTTGATCCTCGTCGGATTGTGCACCGTGGCTGACGGATGTGTCCTAAAGAGCGTCGGGAACCGATTTCGATCAGACAATGCAGGCGACGAGGCACCGTAACACAACTATGGATCGCAAGAGTCTCCGTTCACCTTCGTATCTCTTTCGTTCTTTTTATAACGAGAAATCCTGGCTGATACTCACCACCACCAGGTTCCACATCTTGGCTGCTTCAGCCACGGTCGTGCAGACGGTGCTACATCCGGCTAACAGCATTAACTTGTGCGGCTCATTGTATAATAAATTGTACATCACCGTGGCACCGAGTCCTGGCTCGCACTGCAAGAACAATGCCAGAAATTAAGGCAACGTTTCCGTTGTCGCGTTTTCACCATTGTTCCACACGAAACTTTATCAAACGTTTCGTATACCTCGCTGTCGTTCGAGTGGAGCTTCAGCGTGAAACCGGGTAACAAGTTCTTCTCGCGATTGACATCGTCTAGAGCCAGGTTTACGGCTGGCATGCAAGCCTGTCGAACGAGGGTCAAACAAATCGCGGTATTAACTCGTGCATGGTTTATAAAATTAAAAGGGAAATTATTACTCACTTGACCACCCTGCCAGCCACCCTCGCCTGCTATGGGAAAGATACCACCGATATGCAACACATTGTCGGCGTCGTCGGGAGGCAACGAACCCCCGATCGCTCTCGCCAGCGTTAAAAATATCAGAAGCTCCATCATCGCGCCGTTTGTCAAATTTTCTCATCTACTCGTGTAAACAGCCCTAAACTCTTCGCACCCTCTCGCTGCCCTACGACACACCCCAACAGCGCGACGCTGGGAATCGCACTTTCTTTACGTGAATCACAGCCATCGTTGATCGCTGGTCTTCGAACACGAATCACTAATCCATGGAACGATTTCGACCCCGATCGGGACTTTGCGAGCCGAGAACGGCACACTCGAGGGGATGATCCGATATTCTCGGTGTCCCTGGCGAAATGCGACGTACGCGGCATTAAAGTTGCGTCCTCGCGTTCTCCATCGCGTTCATCCGCTCCCGACGCTCCTCCCTGCGCGATACTCCGTGAAATTTCGCGTGCGAATGAATTTACCGAAGACAGAGTTCGCGTGAGCTTTCTATTGATTTCATCCCGGCTTTCAAGGATCGTAGTGGGGATAGGGTGGCTCTGTGCCCTAGGTTTCTACTAGAAAATCAATATATAAATGATTCGACCTTACGGTTCGCTCGCGGCTGGTGAATTTGTGGGAAACCGTATTTCGGGATTCCCCGCGATTTTCAAAGGATTATCGATCATTCGTTAGCGCGGGGATAACGGGAGATTCGAAATTAAGAGTACGCGCGCGATAAGCACGCTCGGTCGGTAAAGTCGCATCAGCTGACGGTGCTGTTGTGATTCTGTCATGACGCGGTGTAAACGGTTCGTGTTTTCGTGAGGCGTGGAAGTGGATTTCATGAGAGGAGGTTCCTAGTTTTTGTTGTAAATAATGGCAGCGCAGCGGGCACTACCGCAGAGCAAGGAGGCTTTGTTAAAGTCCTACACCACGAGATTGAAGGAGGACGTGAAATCGATGCTGGAGAATTTCGAAGGTATCCTTCCTAACCTCACTTTCCGCACGATACACGGTGATAAAAGAGTCGGTGTTTCTCAGTGAAAAAGTAATTACGCGTTGTAAAATGTTACTCTGTGCGTTCAGTCCGATGGATAGTTTTTCGTTCAACTAACACGATTTCGTTTTGTTAAACGTATCGACGATGTATCGGACTTAACCTACAATTCTTTCGAGTTGTCGTAATTTTATGTTATTTTGTTTTCTTTTTGTTCCCATTGTACAGAAATTATAAAGCTAGCCAAAGGAGAGAGCGATTCCCAATTATCTCGGATGACACAATGCGAGCAAGATACGTATGAAATGCATGTTAGAGCGGCGAATATCGTTCGCGCGGGAGAATCTCTGATGAAACTTGTGTCGGATATAAAGCAGTATTTGATACTGAACGATTTCCCATCGGTAAACGAGGCTATAGCGCAAAATAGTAAATTATTTAGGACAAAACAGGCCGAGTGCGATCAAAAGTTAGCATCTTTGAGAGACGATATGGCTGCCGATTTATACGATTTAGAAGAGGAATACTATACGTCGATATACAAATAACACAAACTGTAGGTTTTTTTAAGGATGTGTGCAATTGTGTGCTTGTCTGGACCATGAATTGACTAAAATGTGATTTATTTGTTCAATAAACTGTATATATTTATTTAAATAAATAAGAATAGTTTTGATAGTACATTCCTACTTTTTAATTGGGAGCCTGACGAGACACGCGAAAAAGATAGGCTTGACGATATAATAATTCGGGCGTACTTGCTTCATTTTATTACTTGAATACCTTAATAACACACAGACGATACATCACACAATACTTCTAACTGGTAAGTATACTCAATAAGGTAATTGTGGATTCAAGCTTCGGATAATAACAATAATAAGAATAATGAGAATAATCATAAGAAGAAGAATAATAATAATAAGAATAATCTTAGGATAATACTATTTCCTCTTTAATCCTTTACTTGAACGACGATGCCTTTCCATACTGTACAGCGATAATTTACAGAAATAATACGGAGTTCCCTCGACCGGAGTAGCGAGATTACATCGATTCGCAAACAATCGACCGATCAGGTTTTGAAGGCATAAAAGTATGCACGATATTTGAATTTGGAATGTTCCGTTCATCGTAATCTCGTTCACTCCGTTACGTAGTACTGTAGAAAATACAAACTGAGCGGTCGACACGGTACTGGTTCCTTAAAATATTCGGAAGCGATTCTATATGTCGTTATTAGGGAAAGTAACAAAAATATCACAGTGTAAAATGCAACGCTGTGACACAGACCCATCAAGCATCGATCAAACGATAACGTGGAATCAAATGAAAAAGCATTATGTCCGCGGGACACGCGGGTTGGAACTGGAATATCGTAGCGTCTGCTAAATGTAGAGCGACGGAAATTGGAACACAATTGTTGCTTCGGTGTATAAATGCATCTTTATCATTAATTATTATCGTATCGCACGTTTACCCTTGAATCAGTCCGCGATCACGCGATATATCTTAGTCGAAAGTTAATCATACTGCCGCAATCATACTTTAAACATTTACGCGATTCAACGTAACATTTTGAATATTCGACGTTCGTCTTAACACTTCCAACACAAATACGGACAACGAAAAGAAACAAAAGTACGCATAATGTAATCGGTTCCCAAAGCAATCGAATTGTTCCGTATTCTGTATAATAATAAACTTCGCGAAACTTTGAGACCGATAATAATTTAGTATGTACAAAATTTGGTTCGCTTAAAATTAACATTCATCGTTAACAAATCAATGTTCCCTCTTTCTTTCTTTCTTTTTTTTTCCTCATATTTTTCGTATCGATTATTAGCATTTCCTTTTTGTTTTTGTTTGGTCCAAATGCGAGAAACGAAAAGCGAAAGAAACTCAACGAAAGAATATCGCATAATACGTATCTATCATCTTATCTTGAGCATCCGTAAGAGATATCGGTATGATTTAACATACGTTTAGTATAAATAATGAATTTCCTCTCGAGATTTACAATCGTAGCGTTATTTCCTGGACCAAAACTTCGACTTATTGTACACGTATATTTAAGTATATTAAGTAGACTTATATTCTACTTTGGCTAAACCTTTTACAAAAATCTAAAATCGAGCGTGTTTCAATGTTCTCTTCTTCTCTTTCGTTTTCCCCGATCGATCTGTATTTTCGCACTCGATCGTGTTTTCTCTTCTCCCTCTTTTCTCTAAAATTTTTCACAAAAGTCTGGCCTTCGGCTGGCAGCTTGAACGTTAAACGGCTCAGCGTTAAAGTAATCTCAAAAAGGTTACAAAATGTTCAGTCCCATCGTCGACTTCTCTTCGTTTGTTATAAAATGTGCCAAAAAGTTGATATGCTCGTTTCTCGTTTTCTCTTCTCTCTGCCCCGGAAGGATTTCACCGATCATCGGGCTCTCCGTTTTTAAAGTGCCATCGAAAACAGAAAAGCACTGACGTACCTTGGCAGTTTTAATTACACGTTACTTAGGGAAAAAGTCTGTTCACTTCGTTATCGTAGTAATACAAAGTAAATGCATATACTTGGAATGATACTGTCTTTTCGCTTAATTACCTAAGAAAGTATTGCCTCTGCCTCGACGCGTTCTCCGATCGTTTTTCTCCCGCTTCCCCCTGGCTTTTGATTCGTTTCCTGGATCGGTAAAAGTTATTGCGCGCAGTTCTTACGACAGCGAACTATCTATTTAAGGCGTGTTCCGATCGTGAACGCGTCGCGTGATGCATTTCTCGAAAAGTAGCAGTTCTCTTATAATTCATACGGTGAGCAATCGTCACGTTGGCGCTCGAAGAAACATATTCTTAGCGACCGTTCGATTCTTCTTCTACAGAAGACCCTTCTTCCCCTTCGCGCCTACGGAAAAAAGGAAAGAAACGTGTCGTTTCGCCGTTAGTCTTCTGAGTATATTCCGAATTCGCGATTCCCTGCCGCTCTCCTCCTACGAGAGCTTTTGAGCTTCCAGCGACTTTTCCGCTTCACGCGTCTCTCTCCGTGGATCGTTTCAGTAGTCGCGTCAGTAGAGAAGATCGCCGGTGGTCTCGGAACCCCATGCGCCGCCATCCTGAGCTGGTTTCAGGTAATCCACCTCGGTTTCGTTCTCCGGCTGGCCCGACGTGGCGGTCGTCAGCGTGGACGACGATGTCGAGGTCGAGGTCGTCAACGGGGCCGAGGACACTGCTCTGGTCACGCCCAGCTCGAACCCTTCGGACGTCAAGTCCACTTTGCTAGGAGTGTAACTGGCTAGGCCACCACCACCACCTGCGGGGAACAAGCACTAGCTTTCAGCACGCTACGCTGTCTAGGCGAGTTGGACAAGAGAAACGCGCGTGCGACACATACACAGCGAAGGACTAACGAAACACATTCCGAGAGTACTGGCAACGAGAAAGACATGGAAAGTTACTCGGGCGCGTAAGGAACGAAAAACTCTCGTCTAAAATCAGCGTGGGGAAAGTGAAGCGTTTCTAGAGGCAATAGGACTAGTTTATACTAGAGACTCTTTCACAGGGTCAACGTTTAAGAGGAATTGCAATTCTTTGCAGCTGTTCACGGGAGATATAACGTGGTGTATGAACGTGGCCTCTGGAAAAAAAACCGAAAACAACGATACAACTTTAGTGAGGAACGGTACAACACTCGGTGCGAGCGTTCCTAAGTAAAAGTGGAGGGAAAGGAAGAAAGGGAGAGAGAAGAGAGAGAAAAAGGGAGAAGAAGAGACTGGTACGATCGCGATGAAGGCTCGTGGTAACAAGAAAGAGCGATTAAAATTACCGAGTAGGGTCGGCATGCTGGTCGTCGAATTGGTCGAGGACGTTTTATTGCTGATCGGAGTTGATTGCTCGACGGAACCGGAAGTTTCGCCATCCACGCTGCTCTCACCCTCCAGCATCGACGCCTCGCTCGGATATTCGAAGGTACGGGTAGCCGTGTCGTCGAATTGTATTCGATGCTGAAACACAATCACCGATATCAGTGGACTGCAAGTTAGCACGGGGAATTAGCGGACTGATCGATAGAAAATTCGAGCGTCGTGTCTACCGGAAGCGCAGCAAATTGAACCATTCGACGGGACAAAGAGCATCGGCAACGGCCCGGCTATATTCGCGGCACGCGACCATTGTGAACCAGACGGTTACACACCACGAAAACAGCTCTACGCGTCTTTTGTGTGTCGTACACCGTGTGTACAGTCGGTTACAAATAAGACACGGGAAGAACAAACAACGGCACGCAGCCTGGAATAACAGTAACCCGTCACACTCGATGCTTTTTCGACTACGAGAGCGAGGACATCGCCTCCTCCTCGTCCGCTTCTCGTCCGCGAACGTGATCAAAAGAGAAAGCAATTCTTTTTCTAGAGAGCTGCTGGATCTTGCCGTTCCCTGTTCCCCGTGTACCGGATATTTCGGGCCACGAGGACCGCTTCCTCCAATTTCTCCCGCGGAGAAATTAGTATATATAACGCCAGACGAACGTCGCCATCGGGCAATTTCGTCGTTTCGCGCGAAAACAACCAGACAAATCGTTCGTCTTCCACGTATGCCTGGCTCATTTGACGGACAAAGAAATCTGCGAGGCGCCGATTTTGCTATACTTTTCGCTCAGGCGGCAGCGAGTGAACACTTGATGCCCAACGCTCAAGAATACTGAAAAGTATGAGCAGAAGATTACTTTGTTTCACTTTGTCGTTTGGACTGTGAGAATGGTACAGCCAATGCACAAATATACAAATTATAAACAGAAGATAACGAGGTGGGAATGCCAGAAAGGCAAAAAGGCGATCACCAAGAAACGATCAGTCGAAAAAAGCCACGGAAGTGTAAAGATTTACTTTAGCAGAGGGAATTAAATTTTTACAATATGTTAATTGTCATTGATAATTTAACCCTTGACAATGCCAGTCTGACGCACCGATGTTGATCAAACGAAAAGTTCGCTGTCAGTCCCTAGAATCCGCACCGTCCAAACGAAAAGTCTACTGTCAGTCCCTAGGGAATAGCAAAGAAATAGTAGCCAGTGGAAACGGTGGAAAAACTGCATAGATGTTTACTAACTCTTTGCGACACAGGATTTCAGATAATAAAATAGACCCGTGTTGCACAGAAATTTTATTTTAACCCGTTTTAACCCTTTCGCTACTACAGGGTGACTATAGTCACCGGCCACAAAAATTGAGTAAAAAATTAACCCTTTGGACTCGAAGATTTCTTCGTTGCGAAGATGCGATTCGAAGCTCTTCTTAGATTTTTATAAGCTCACTGATACCCTTTACGCTAAAATTAAAAACAGAAAATCGTGAATTTGCGTGAGAAACGAACGAATAGGATAATTTTATTTCCATGTTTTTAATATAATTACCATCGTTCGTTATTTAAGTTATAGCATTAAAACAAACGGTGACTAAGAGCTACTTCTCGAGTGCAAAGGGTTAAGACAAGTGCTACCTTTTCGCTTAGTTCTCTTCGCAAAGAATTGCAAACTGTATTGCAATTGTCGATTTTTCCTTTCTTTTTCTTTTTCTTCGAAACACTTGGCCCCGAATACTAAAGACATCGTAACGTTTCCATCTTTGGCACAACGCTTCGTTTCTCGGGAGAGACTTCGTGGCGATGCTCGGCATAGTGAAAGGGTTAAATGAAACAAAATTGGTATATTTTTGCTAATAAAAGAATCACATAGTGTAAAAATATAAAACCAGGAAAAAAAGATTGTCGCAATAAACCTGTACTGGCATATTGAATGTTGCCAGCACGAGCGAATACGTGTATAACATTTATCAAAGGTGGCACCAACTGTTTTACGTAAATAAGACGAAATATAAACCTACGTGCATGCAATTATTACAATATTTCGAGGGGACTAAAAATGTCTAGGCATACATTACGGTGCATCAAAAATGTGGGACACTTTTAATCCCACCGTGCCCCAAAGAGTTAAACGGACGAAGGGTTAGAACTGGTCAAAACGCAGAGGAAGGGATCATATCCACATTGCTAGGACATAGAGTTTATTTTAGTACTTAGTTTCTTACTACACAGAATTAACCACGTGCGCTATGATTTAACTTTCATATGACAACTTACATTGACACCGCACCCCTTCTGCGAGCTAACTGTTAGCCGACGTGTCGGACACGTCGTTTTCGTTTCTGCGACAAATGTCTATCGACGTGGTATACACGTCGCTGGCGGCTTTGGAACAAAATCATCTCGACGTGCGTCTTTACAGCGCGAGTGGTTAAATCGGTGATTCCGCGTTTAGTTTCGCGATCGCGAAATGTGACCGGAATGGCGGCGCGCATAAATCCTCGGGTCTGGGCAGCAGTGCTGGTACAGCGGTAACAGTACCACCGATTATTTCGAGCAGAGATTGACTTCTCGCTGGTTGACTCTCTGTCTGCGCAGTTTCCGAGTTCGCGAAGCCACGGAACTTTGAGACAGTCGTCTCTTGGATCGCGATGATCGACGACGAGCGCGTATGTGGAATTTTCGCGGACAGGAACGATCGGGATTACCTGCTCGTTCTCTCGGCGCTGGATCGATGGTGTCTCATAAATCACGATCGACGTTTTCGTTACACGTATACACAGAGAACGCTGTAGGACAAATTGCCACGAGCACTTGCGGGCGAAAGCGAGTACGATCGGTTCTCGTCTGCGAAGGAATTTTTTGGATAGCGAGTCCATCGGGGCCAGCGAGGTCCGGGACGTCCTAGTTAATTAATGGTGCCGGTTAATTACGAACGACCATCCGTCTCGGGTCATCGACAGCCATCGGCAGAACTTGCATTGTATAATCACCTGTTTCTAGCCGGTAAAACGACTCATCGAGTGGACAGAGGGCCTCATAGATATTCGAGTATGCATCGACTAGTCGCGAAGAAGCGTTCGCACGTGGACGCGAACCTTTTCTCCGGGCGATAACGTTTCCATCGTTGTAAAATAATAGCAAACTGTTGGTAGGAGCGAGCAGTGGAACGTTTACAATCTGCGCGCGTGCACGGAATGGAATACCAGGGTGGCCGTGGCATAGGAAAGGCTTTCTTCTCAGCGCGAAAATGGCGTCGTCGATAAACGAAACGGGCATACACCGTTGGCCAAAGGCAAATATCAAGATGGAAAGTTTACGCGCAGGTTGTGGACGCTTGGCACGCGGGACCATGGCGTTTCGCGTGCGACTCGTGTCAAATCGTTCCCCGGCCCGAGATGCATGGGGGACCATGGAGGCTCGCGCTCATTGGTCGCCGGTATATTGATTTTCAGGAAGAAAACGGCGAACCGAACTACCCTCAAAAGAGAGTAAACCTTTTGTGTCGCGCCCGTGCTTTCTCGACCATAAAATCAAGCTCGAGCACGCTGCCAGCGAGTATACATTGCAGCCGTGCACGTCTACTCGTTAACGAACGTTTACGAGGAAAAATTCGCGGGGGGAGAGCCGAGCAAGTCTAAGCGAAGCTTCTAAACCCTGGGCGAAAAAGCATCCTATCCTGCTGTACCGTAATAACGCGTCGGGACAATGGCGCGTAATTTCAAGCGACTGTCAATTGTGGGAGAGAAAGAGTGACAGAGAGATGGAGAGATCGGTCGGGAACGAATTTGGGAGGTTCCGCGAACGGATTCTCGATGGGTTTCGTTAAGGAAGAGATAAATAGGAATCTCGATAACGACGTCGTTTCGTTCTGCTTTGCATCTTTACGATCGGTAAAAAGACCTGCGTCTCGTTTCGAGAGCGTGTTCGCGCCACAGGCTTTCGACTGCGTTCCTCTCGCCACGACACAGCCACGGGCCCCCGAGCCCGAGGAATTTTTCAATCCCGATTCGAATAACCGCGACTGCCGTCGAGGGGGGAATCGGTGGAAGGAAAAATGGCGTCGACAATGTCGCGGACGGGCCGTTACTCTCGACTAGAGACCCGACCAAACAATGCGTCCCTTATCGTCCGCGAGAAAGGAAACCGTTTATCGCGGCGGACAATGGAAAGAGGAAGCTAAACGGACTTTTACGTATTACGCGTTACATTTTACGTCCCACATGCGGTCGTCTCGTAACGCTTATAGGACGCCTATGGGACGCCTATGAGACGCGTTCGGATCGCGCGCCGAAATTCCAACGACGGCTTCGACGAGTTCCGAATGGACGCGCAACGTGTGGAAGCACTCGTGGAGAATGAGCGGACGAAGACGTTATGGCGGGCGATAAATTATTCGCACTGGTTTCACGGATGCGCCGTTTAGCTCGGGACGGCGGATCGTTCGGGGATAATTCCCGAACGCCGAGGGGACATAAAGTTTAACGCGGCGCGAACGCGAACCCTGGAATAACGTCGGGGGGTGATGGCGGAGGGCCGAGGGGGAAAACGCAGGCAGACTTGTAACGCTGGAGCTTTTTCTCCGTGCACGGAGAGTCGGGTCCGGTCGTACGGTAGGCAGCATAAAAGCGTCGAGGAATTTATCGTCGCGACGCCCCGTTCCCTGGTCCCGTGAACACCCGCGCGTATCTCGCCGCACGGCCGCGTCAAATGGACGCATAAAGCTTGTTCCACGCGGTAAAAACTAGACGCGCGCGCATCCGTTATGTCTGGCAAAACCCGTAATCTTGCTCGCGCTGACAAGATTAAACGGCCCATGAGGTATCGCGGATTGAAAGAGCAGCCAACGAGCGGGATCGTTCTTCGATTCGATTTACGTGCTCGTCCGGCCGATTTAAACTTTCGACCCGATGGCGCCAAACCAGCGGACGGAAGAATGGCCGAGGAATCGACGAAGAGTGGACGAAGGGAGGACGAAAAGCCTCGGCCAGTCCGGGATTCTTTCGCGATGAGCCACGAAGGGAGTAGCTTTTTGCTCGCGCGAGTACGAATGCCAACTGATCGACAGGGAATCGATGACGAGGTTTCAGGAACGAGGAAGCGCTTGCATCGGGACGAGCCATCCTCGTGATTTACGTTATCC